GGAGAAGGTGTGGAAGGGAGATGAGATGGGTGAGCTGGACCCAGGAAGGAGGGGGAATTTGGGAGAAAACCAGTCCCCTGGTCAGTCTGGGGCTCCTGTGGGGAGCCAAGTACAGGGCTGTGCCCCCAAACCACGGCCACGAGCTCAGCCAGCCTGGGCCCCCCGGGACCTGTGATGCCCACCAGGGAATCAGAATGGATGGACAAAGGGGCACAGAGAAAAAGCCTGTGCTCCTCAGCCCCTCAAGGTCCACAAAGTGGTAAAATTAAACCCTCTCCAGACACAGCCATTGCAAGGAGGTTTTCAGGTAACGAGAGGGTTGTAAATGCAAAACATTGCCAATTACAGCAGCATTATCCCAGATTAGAAAGCTTCCAAGAGGCGGCTCACACCTCCAGGCATGTTGTGCCCAGAAATTTCCAGGGGAGGTTAGGGATCCAAATGTCTAGGCTGCCTGAAGCCAGGCCCCACAGTGTGTGCTGCGTGCTGGGTGGGCCTGGCTCCACTGACTCTACAGACCTGCCTTCTTTTCCCCAAGAAGATAGACTGACTGTGGGGAAGGAGGACCCCCTGCCTCACCCAACCCCCTATAATTCTGAGCAATGTCAGGCTGACAGTCTATCTCTGGCAGAACTCTATCCCTTCAAGGACTTCCCCAGTCCTCGGGGCAGTGAGTCCATCTAAGACACTTTGTGCAACCCCCCTACCCCCACCCCGCTCATCCGATGTGTGGAGTCCAAAGGACCACACAGAACTGAAGCCAGCCCGGTGCTGCCCCTTCTGGGGTACATGACCTTTAGCCAGTCCTCCTCGCTCAATCATAGTTTCTGCTTTGGCAAGATGGGGAGACAAGCCCCCTACTTCGTGGGGTGTTTTCAGGATTTAGTGAGATATTGTAGATGGAAGGCTTGAGGCATGGAAACCAGTACAACCTCTGCACGTGACTATTTGACAGTGTCGGCTAAATAGTAAATGTCCACACCTGGGCCCCAGGGTGTCCTTTTCGTCATCTCCCACAGAGAAAGTTTTGCAAATTCTGTCCGAGGATATTCCCTGCAGCACCTTCTGTGAGGCTGGAAATTGTAAACAACCGAAAAGGCCATTTATAGGGCCCTGGTTAAATTAGGATCCATGGGTACTGTGAAATCCTTTGCTGTAATTAAGGAGTCTGGCAGCTTCTGTGTGCTGTCACGGGCAGATCCCCACCACGTGGGGCTGCATGAACAAAGCAAGCACAAACAACACCTACAGAACGGTTCCATTTCAGCTTCCAGAACCCCACACAATCGCTATAGATTTTATATGTTCATATGCATATATGTACGTGGATACAATGAAAACAGCCTGGAAAAAAAAAAACCCACAAACCCCAGTGACCCAGTGGTCACCCCAGGAGGGGACTGGGCTGGAGGCTGCAATTGGCAGGAGCATCAGAGAGAATTTTACCGCCTGTGTTATGCCTGTGTCGCCTGCTTAGATAAACACGCACAAAATAACAAGTGCAGAGAGCTGGGCCCGACCCGCACTCGCTCAAGGCTCACAGGCCGTAGTCATGAGCGTGGGGCAATGGAGAAGCCTAGTGAGGAAGGGGGCCCAGTGCCTCTTGCTGCTGTCCCCAGCTCGTGGAGTCCAAATCCAGGTCTGAGGAAGCCCCTCATGTGGGTATGGGATGTCCCTTGGCATTGAGAGGGCCACAGAGAAGCTGCTTTGTCAGCCTAGCTGGGCTGGGGCCATGGCCCACCTCTCCCAGCTGAGCGGTCTGCCAAGGAAACTATTGAGCTACATAAAAATCCATCCTGGAAATCCCAGAGGCATCCTTAGAATGGAGTGCGCCTTTAAATTAGAATGTTAAAAAAAAAAAAGAAGGCAGATTTGCCAGTAGCTGGAGTTCAGGTTAGTGAGGGCTGGTGGCCCAAACACAGGGGCTGGGCTGGGCTGAGGTGCCCCCCCTCCAGCCAGGCCGGGGTCCTGCAGCATCAGCGGTGAGGGGGACCCCAGCCCCACCAAGGCTCCATGTGGAACTGCACATGTTCCCATGGAAACTCTGCTCCGCAGAATCCTCTGGAAATTGTTGCCGAGGAGGGGCCGCCGCTTCCCACACCTATTTTGTGTTCCCGGGTTTGGTTTCCAGGGATGATTTTCCCTTCGGCAAGTGCTGAGAGGAGCAGGAGCAGGGCAGGGGTTGGGGGACCGGAGGCCGAGGCCACCTGGAAGGGGCAGCGTGGGCCGTTTCCAAGTGGCTGCCCCAAAGGGCCTTTGGAGTGGAGGGTGTCACAGGGAGCTGAACTGTTTCAGAGCCTAGTCATGCCTCACCTCCCTGCTTGCCCAGCCCCCACCCTGGGGTGCTCCTGGTGGGGACGACAGAGCCTGGGGCCCCATCCCCTGGAGGGAGGCCTACCCCTTGTTTCCCAGATGCCCTCCACACTGCTCTGTAGTCGCCTGTTTTTCTTGGAGGATGAGCGGAGAGGAAAACGCATACCTGCTGAGCCCCTGTGGGAGCAGAGAGTTCCCCATCTGTCCTCTCCGAGCCACATGGAGCCGTCTTGATTGTCACCGCAACCAAGGCTGAGGAGGGCATGGCTGCTGGGGGTGGGTTGGGGTTCAAGGGAGGCCAGCAGCCACCCAGCCCCGAAGGGCTTCCCTCCTCCTCCTCCCTTACTGCCGCCTGCACCCCCTGCCGCCATCAGCCACCCCTTGTCCCCCTACCAGCCCATCGGGCTCTCAGTCCCAGAGGTGAAGAGACAGAGGGGCCCAGTCTTCCTTGCTCCACACAGGGAGCCCCAGGATATTCCTTCCCCACCCTCCTTCATGTCAAAGGCCCCCCAGGGTCCCACCCTTCCACCTTGACCTTCCTCCTCCTCCCTGCCTCTCTGCTTGCTCCTTGGAGACCCCATCAGCATCCTCCCAGTCTTGCCTCGAACCAGACGCAGCCACTATGCTGGCAAAGGCTGTGTGTACAGAAGGGGGTCAGGTCACTCCTGAAGGGCCTCATAGGCCTCGGGGAGGAGTTAGGATTTTATTCCAAGTGAGGTGGGAACTGTTGAACGTGAGGAAGGACATGATCCTATGTAGGGTTTTCGGTTTTTTTAAGGACTATTTATTTGAGAGAGAGAGAGAGCAAGTGAGTGCACAAGAGAGGGGTGGCGGGAGACAGAGACAGAAACTTTAGCAGACTCTGTGCTGAGTGTGGAGCCTGACACAGGGCTCGATCCCATGACCCTGAGATCACAACCCTGAGATCAGGACCCCGAGATCTCAACCTGAGCCGAAACCAAGATTCAGATGCTTAACTGACTGTGCCACCCAAGCACTCCAATCCCATATAGGTTTTTTTCTCTTTTTTAAAAAAGATTTTATTTACTTATTTTTTAAGATTTTATTTATTCATGAAAGACACAGAGAGAGAGGCAGAGACACAGGCAGAGGGAGAAGCAGGCTCCCCGCATAGGGCCCGATGTGGGACTCGATCCCAGGACCCCAGGATCATGCCCTGAGCCACAGGCAGATGCTCAACCACTGAGCCAGCCAGGTGTCCCCCACCCCCCACCCCCTATAGGTTTTATCTGGATCCCTTAGGCAACTTTGCAGAGAAGAGGCAGTGGGGGCAGGGGAAGGGGATGTGGTCCCTTCAGGCTTCCCTTGAGGCTGAGTGATGCCGAGAGCCCGAGCCCCAGGGGCTGGGGTCCTGAGGCCAGGACAGAGAGGCCCAAGCCCAGCAGGTAGCCTCCTCCTGGTCTTGCTGGCTTTCGTTTCCTCTGGGGAGGCTCCCCGCACCCTGAGCAGCACAGACCGCCTCACCCTACCACAATCCTGGCCTCTGCTTCGGGCTGTTGGGGAGTCAGGAGCGTGAAAAGCAATTTTGCTCCAGGCAGCCTCTCCTCCTGCACAGGCAAGGAATTCAGTCGACTCCAGCCTCTGGGGGAGCAGGGCCCACTCCACTCAGCCTTATAATCCAGCTCAGAGCCCTCCTTGCTGTGTGCTCACAGGCCAGGCTCAGAACCAAGCTGGGAGGCTGTGGGCTGTCCTGTCCTGGGTGGCCAGGGAGGCTGGGTGCCTCTTAGCAGAGGGGCTGGGATTTCCTTTGGATGTCAGGCTATTGCTCCCCCCACCCCAACCCCCAGCCTATCTGCCCTGAGGGAGGGGCCTGGCCCACAGAGAAGTGGCTGCCCACGACCTAGTGGCCCAGTACTGCTCAGGGGCGAGGGTCGGGGCCTGTGCCTTGGGCCCCTCACTGTCCCGGGGACACGTCTGTGTGTGAGGGCCCCTCAAGGACTCCGCGGCAGCCTGGGGGTGGGAGGAAGGATGGTACAAATGAGATCCTGGAAAGCAACAGAGATGGAGGAGAGCAGAGCCCCACAGCCTGGATGATTCCCCCACCCTTAGCCCCTGTCTGTGAAATGGGCTCCAGCAGAGATGCTGAGAGGAAGAAATGAGCATTGGGAGCCTCAGAAATGGCTCTGTGTGAGCACTGAGGGCCCGAGCTCCTATACCACCCAGGGAGCCCCAGGCACCAGGTCCTGCAGCTAGACCATTTGAGGAGAGGTCCTCAAAGCCATGGGACAGGTGCAAAATGTGAACAAATAGAGAAGATGAGTGGGATCCAGAGAGGCCAGACTGAGGCTCTGGAGAACTGGCCCTGGTGGGGAAGGTGGGTGCAGTGGGAGGGAGGAGGAGCTGAGGCCTGGAGGGTGGGGAAGGGCCACAGAGGTGACAAAGCAGTTGGCACAGGGATGCAGAGGGCCAGGCTGATGGGCAACAACCATCCTTGTTGGGGGATGGAGAGCTTCGGAGGTTCAGCTCCTGTGTGGCCAGCATCTCCCCCTCCCTTGCCCCAAATGTGCTGATCTCCTTCCTTACCCTCCCTGCCCCAGCCCCCAGCCTCAGGACCTCCCCTCAGCCACCTCTCTGGTCTCTAGCTCTGTCCTCGAGCCCGGCCCAGCCACGTCTGCACAGTTCCCATCCTCCCCCCACCCCATCCTCCCCCACCCCCAGCTCCTTTCTCCACCTTGCATGGCTGCCTTGCGCATCTGGCCTGGCTGGGCAGGGGGCATTTGCATGGTTGGTCCCTTGTTTGTCCCTGCTGGTGCTCGTGCTCACAGCACTGACCAGGGTGCCTTGCCGGGAGCCTCCTGAGGAGCTCCATCTGGGGTGCAGGCTGGTGCCAAGAGAGCCCATGGATCCTGAGAAGGTGAGGAGGGCCTGGGAAGGGGCGGTGTCCTAGAGACCTGTGAAGGCTGAGCTAGGCCTGGCAGACGGAGGAAGAGTCCGGGCAGAGGCCAGATGCGAGGTGCTCAGTGGGTAGGCCTGGCGCACAGAATGGGGGGCCGGGAGCACCATGGATGCGGGGGCGAGGTGATGGGGCCTTGCTCCTGGGTTGGCGGGCCAGTCCTTGGAGGGAGGCCCCGTGGGGCCGCTGATCCAGGGCCAGACTTAGGGGCCAGTGGAGCTCGTCCTAGAGGTTTTCATAGACGAGGTTAAATTCACTGTCATCCAAAAATCTATTCATTTTTTTCTGGGAAAAGAAAGAAAACACAATAGGAAGAGAACAAAGTTGAACTGATACAGTTTCAGGCAGAGGCGAACAGACAGCTTCCTGCATGGCTTTCAGAGGGAGGCCTGTCCTTGTCCCCAGGACCACCCTGCCAGCCATTTCTCCCTCCATTCCACCCACCCTCACTCCTGCCCTCCAGCCTCCCCGGGTCTCCCCACATGCTCTTCCCTCTGTCTGGGGTGCTCCCCCCTCCCCACCTGCTCCCCAACGACATCCTACTCACCCTGCAGGGTTTGGCCCAGCGTGCCTGAGAGCCCCCTCCCCTGCCCCTAGTCTGGTGCCTCCCCACAGCACCCCCCTCACAGGGGCCTGCAAATGCCCTGTTTGTCGGGTCAGCGCCTGGCCCTGCAGGCCCGAGGCTCCCAGAGGGCAGGGCCACGTCCAGCCGTCCTGACCAGCACTCAGGGCCTGCCACAGGTTGGCCACTGCCTAGGCTGGCCCAGACGTCCTTGGGGGGCTCAGCACGGGGAAGCCCTGCTTCCAGTCAGGGCCAATTTTGGGGCTAAGAATAGAACGGGCTTTGAGGAAAGGAGAGTCCACTAACAATGGGTCCCCTGGGCTGGGGAAGGCCAACCCCCTCACTTCCTGACGCTTCTTCCAAGGTGTCCACAAACCCACCCATCACCCCCATGGGCTCCGGTACCGGCTTCATAACCCCTTGCATTTTATGATGCCCAAAGCTCTGGTGTAGATGTTAACCTGGAACTCGTTTGAAATCAGGGCAGCTGGTTTTGCAGGAATGTGTCACTCATCCACTTTACAGATGAGCAAACTGAGGTTTAAGAGGGAATCATGATCGAGTGAAATGCCTCAGCCCCCGTCATGATAAAAACAGAGCTCTGACCAGGCCAGCCCATGCTGGCCCAGCCCAGACTCTAGCTTCCAACTTTAGCCCATGTCAGCCTGGGGACAGCTAGAAGCCTAACACCCTTGGCCTAATTGGCCAGCGTAGACACGGCTCACATTGCACAAGTGCCTACTGGGTCCCAGTACTGATTCCCATGGTGAATCCGTGAGCTGAGGGCTGTTAGGCCCCTCGGTTTACAGAGGAGAGGACTCAGGCTCGGAGGTGAGCCCCTCAGCCCAGGGCTACACAGCCAGTAAGGGATTGGAGCCACACTTCAAACCCTCCAGTCCTCCTAACTACTAGGCCATCTGCTCTAGAGAAGAGGGCTCTGATTGAGCTGCAAGTGGCTCACTCCCTCAGTCTAGTTACCCGCCATTTTATAGACAAGGAGAAGGATGGATAAATAAGAAGAGGAGCCAAGCATGCTCCCCACCCTCACACCCCTACATACCTGGGAGAGAAGGCTCTGGGTGGGGGGCAGGCTCCTGGCCTCGTTCTGGATGCACGAGTACACTTCAGTGTCTCTATGCTCTAGGACCTGCAGGAGAGGGCAATGGTTAGAGAACAATGAACTGAGGGTCAGGGGCTAGGTCCAGCAGCTAGGCTTCTCTGGCATGATCACTCCTGCCTGCGGGTGCCCAGGGAACAGTCAGAGCCCTTTGGGGTGTAGCCTGTGACGGGACGGCCATGCACAGCCACACCACTACACCTTTGCACCTGCTCTTCTCTCTTGCAGAGCCACCTTGCCCCTTCCCGCTTGTTCAAGGCGACTCCTCTCTGTGCTCATCCCATCTTGAGGCTCTATTAGGGTCTTGTGCTTAGCCCGGGTGGGCCCTCTCCAGGCTTCCACCTGGCAGGGAAGAGGAGGGGCCTAAGCTCACACCCACAGTCTCTGCCTGTCCTGAGGCCTCAGGAACCTGGCTGCCAGCAGCCCCAGGACAACCCATGGCCGCGGCTCCAATAGGATGGCCTCCTGGCATGTGTCCTTATCCCTCAGGTCCAAAGCTTCTGACCCTGTGAGAATCTTGGCCACCCATCCTCCCCTCTAGGACTCCTTCGACACCCCCACCTCGGCCTGTTTTCACAGATGGCTTAGGCACCCGCTAGGGTCACCTACCTCTCCGATCAAGCTGTACCTGGTTTGCCTCTGGGTCACCGAACTTACAGCTTGCTTGGCACACTTGAGACAATGGCACCATACGATCTATGAGGTCCTTGCTCACCAGGCTGTGTGTCTTGGGGCCACACTCACTCTTGGCCCAGCTATAAGCAGCCTGATCAGAGGCCTCAGGTGGTAGAAAGAACCAGGCTTTGAAATCAGACCAGACTAAGTTCAGCTCTCAGCTCTGACAGGCCAGCTTGGCAGGCAGCCCCAGAACCTCTCTCTGTTTCCCCATCTGTGAGATGGGAATAATTATATTTTTCTTGTCTGTTCGAAGCATGATTAAATGAGATATTGCCAAGCACAGGGCTTGGCAAACAGTAGGTGCTTAATAACTGCGGAATGATCATCAGTTGAATGATCATCAAGGGAGGCTTGTTGCCTCCCTCCCCTGTCTGCTGTCGCAGCCTGGCCCCTCCTTCAGACTCTGTGGGGCCCCTGGGTCCCACGAGAGGAACAAATGCTGTGCTTTGGAGTTGCCAGAGCAGAGCCATCAACCTCCCGCGTGTACATGTCATATGGATGCCGGCTGGTTGCCAAGGAGGTGGTTTCCCTGGCAACAGGCAAGCAGGGGTTGCCGAGGCAGGCTGGAGAGACAGGTGGTGCTCAGAGGCAAGGGGGGGTGGGGAGGGGCGGAGGGAGGTGCTGAGAGGTAGCGGTGCATGAAAACCCGGGTAATAAACCATTGGCGCTTGGGCGACCCGCACTTCAAGGGCATCACACACAGAGATGGCTCGGCAGCCCTGGGGCTCAGCTAAGGCGCCCTGAGTCAGAAAGAGGGTGGGTCTTGGGAGAGGGGCTCTGACCTCCCTCGGGGCAGGGAAGGGGGCAGGACTGCCCTACGGAGAAGCCCCATCTTCAGTGGAAGGCAACTTCCAGGGCCTGCTCCGGCCTGTTGGGTGTCCGTGCCCGCCCAGAGCACCTGCACCCAGAATAGGCATCCATTAACTTGGTGGCCCTGTGCCCCTAGCCCCTGTCCACCCAGACCTGGAGGCAGCCCCTCCAAGCTGGATCTTTCAGGTCACAGAGGGGATGAAGGGGCCTCCTTGCTAACATCCCAGCGGGGGAGCCGGTCTGGGGTCCCACAGGTGGTTCCCTTCTCCCTCATGTCCCGCTCACAGGGGCTGCCTGTCACACATTAGCCCAGAGAGGCTCAAAGATGCCTCAGGTCACACAGCCTCTCACTGGTGGAGCAGGAGTGAAATTCAGCCTCCTGCCCAGCCCTGCGTGCTCCCACTGGGCCAGCAGCAGCTAGGAGACTTCTGAACTAGTGACAAGCACCCGGCCCTGGGACCCCGCAGGCCTCTGAACCACACTGGGGGTTGGCTGTGCTGAGGCCCAGCAGCTGTGAGACTGAGGCAGGGGAGGTGCAGAGCTGGGGCCCATTAGCAGCTGCAGAGTGAAGCCTTTGACAAGGCCTGACCTGCTGGGCTGCATTTGCATTCAGGGTGTGACCTGCATCATTGGGCTGTGACAGGCCTGGCGGCCTTGTCAACAGGACACCCTCTGAGGCTCTGCACGGCCCTCCTGGCTTTCTGCGGTGGTGATGGGAACTGCCTCCCTCAGGGTGTGCTTGCTGGGCGAAGACTGCCCTGGCCTCTGAATGGGCTGCTGTGGGCTGGGCTGGATGGGGCTGTGCTGGGCCATGCTGGGCCCTGCTGGGCTGTGCTGGGCCATGCTGTGCTGGGCTATGCTGGGCTGGAGTGTGCTGTGCTGTGCTGGGCTGTGCTGGGCTGTGCTGGGCTACACTGGGCTGGGCCGGGCTGGGCTGTGCTGGGCTCAAGCTGTCTGTCAGGGACCCAGGCCCCCCAAGACCTTCACCTCGAGCTGCTCCATGGGTGACAGCGCTGTTACCCACGTAGTTGTCGGCCCTGCAGAGGTGTGAAGTCAGTGGCAGCCTCCCCCCAGCCCAGCCCAAGCCAAAGCTTGGCCCAAGCTGCCTTGGGCCAAGACCTAATCTGGGGGTTCTAGACAGTGGTCCCCCTGTAAGACCCCCCCGCTCCCTGTGACCAAGGAAACACAAGAGCTGCCCTCTCATGCACCTCTGCATGTAGAGACTTGTACAATGTACTCAGGTGGGGGATGGGTGCGATGTGGGGTGTTGTTCAGAAAGGAGTGGCACCCAGTGGAGAAGTACCTCTGTGCAGGGTAAGGTCGAAGTGTGTCTGAAGCGAGCTGCCCCCACAGGGACAGTATCTGGGGAGGCAGGTTCTGGGGAAGCCCTCTGATGAAGGCTGCTCCCGCCAGGTGAAGAGCTGCCAGTGGGGAGCCCCCGCAGGTTCCTCAGTGGGAAGCCACGGCAGTGGTGGCCTGTTACTGAGGGCCCCCTGCTGCAGGGAGCAGGAATAGGGCAGCAGAACAGGCAAGGCTGGAGCAGAGCTGAGGGGATGTGTCAAAATGCCTCCGAGGGAAAGTGACACCACAAAGCTGATGCCCTACAGGTGCCCCGGGTGCCCACTCTGTGCCTGGCACTGAGCCCCATGGAAACCCCGGCATCTGGAAGGTAAGAATGGTCCTCTGCTTGTCCGTGTGGCACTTAATGCTGTGTGAGCAGGGTGCCTGGGTGGCTCAGCGGTTGAGCGCCTGCCTTTGGCTCAGGGCGTGATCCTGGGGGTCCCGGGATCGAGTCCCGCGTCGGGCTCCCTGCATGGAGCCTGCTTCTCCCTCTGCCTGTGTCTCTGCCTCTCTCTCTGTGTGTCTCATGAATAAATAAATAAAATCTTTTTTAAAAGTAGTGTGTGAGCAAACCACAATTATGAAAGGAAGAGGTGGCCATATGGGCCATGAGGGACAGGGGGAGGGAGAGAGGGAAGTTGGGGTCATGGAGTGGGTGGGAAGCTTGCAAATTTGAAAGGAAGGTCAGGAAAGACCTCATTGTGAAGGTGCCATCCCAACAAAGTGAGGAGGAGTGAGGGGTGGGCCCCACGGACAGCACACACAGGACACTTCGAGCAGAGGGCATCGCCAACACCAAGGCCTGCTGTGGTGAGGGCATGCCTGGTGTCTGGGGACAGCAAGGAAGCCAGTGTGATCAGAGCAAGTGGATGACAGGGTGAGATGTGGGGGTGCGGGTGCGGCTGGTGGAGGCCCTGTGGGGGCTCTGACGTTGACTGAGGGAGGCAGGAACCTTCAGAGGGTCTGCAGTAGTTGTGAGGATATGCTTCATAGAGCTCCAGCTCCAGAGACCAGTAGTGACCAGGGGTCCCAGTTGCTGGGCTGTTTAACCCATCATCATGGGCGCATGGAGGCCCTAGGCCCCAGCCAGGGGCTGAGCACAGCGGGGGTGCCAGCACAGCCTGCCACCCGGGGAGACAGAAGGCTCCCCTGGCCTTGCCCAGCCTTCCCTACACTGTGTGGCATCCAGGCTTCCTCTCTGCCATCCTTCCCACTTTCCTCACTCAGGACCAGCTCTGCATTGGTGTGACGCTCGCCCAGCCTTCCCCATCTCCTCTTGTAGGTTGATTTCCCCAATAAGACCATTTCAGGCTCACCCCAGCTTAGTGCTGTTTCTCAAAGGCCTGGACACAGCAAGGGCTCTGAGCAGAGGGAATGTAATCTGTGCTCGAGCAAGGTCACTCTGGCTGCTGGCCAAGGGCAAGGATAATAACAGGCCAGCTGAGGGGCACCTGCATGGTGTAGTCATTTAAGCTTCTGACTCTTGATTTGGGCTCAGGTCTCGATCTCAGGGTTGTGAGATTGAGCCCCATGTCAGGCTCCGTGTTCAGCACAGTCTGCTAAGATTTCTCTGCCCCTCTTCTCTCTCTCTCTCTCTCTCTCTCTCTCTCTCTCTCTCTCTTTCAAATAAATTAATTAATCTTAAAAAAAAAATAGGCCAGCTGATCAGAAACCAATTATAGGATCCAAGGCAAGAAATAGTGGTGGCTCCCACCAGCATTAGCACTGGAGGGATGCGGAGCAGTGGGGAGGAATTCCAGATTTGTTTTAAAACAAGAAGTGCTGACAGAGCAGATATGAGTAGTGATAGACAGAGGGAAGGAAAGGACAACTTCAAATGCTCGGCCTGAGCAATTAGAAGGATGGCACAGTCAGTCACTGCAACGAAGACTAGGAGTAGAGGCTCCCCAGTGGGTAAAGAATTGGAGCTGGTCTCAGAGAGAAGCCAGTGACCCAGATGGAATGACTCTGGTGTTCAGAGGAGGTGTCCGGCCTAGAGATAGAAACATGGGAGTTGTCAGCATGTAGATGGTCTCAAACCCTGAGGTTGAATGAGATCTCCCAGGGAGAAGATGAAGATCAGAGAGGAAGGGTCCAGGACTGCACTCCATTGTGAAGAGGTCAGGGTTCTTAAGGAGGAATCAGTTGAAGGAAGCCAAGGAGGCCTGGTGGTAAATCGGGTGCGCAAGCGTCAGTGGAATGTTCCGGAAGCAAGTAAAGAAAGTATGTCAAGGTGGAGTGAAAGCCTGCTAGTGTCAGATGCTGCTGATTCATCAAAGAAGATGAGGGCCAGGAAGTGACCATTGGATTTAACAATGTGGAGGTCGATGGTGACCTTGAGAAAGATTTTGATGATTACATGGGCAGAAAGCCCAATTGAGTGGATCAGAAAGGAGAGAGGAAGCCTGAAGACTGAGAGTTGTGATATTTCTGTTATGAGTTGTGGAGAAAGGGTAGGGTCACAAGAGAGGGACTTGGGCTCAAGAAATATAGGATGGGGGCAGCCCGGGTGGCTCAGAGGTTTAGTGCCATCTTCAGCCCAGGGCATGATCCCCAGGATCGAGTCCCACGTCGGGCTCCCTGCATGGAGCCTGCTTCTCCCTCTGCCTGTGTCTGTGCCTCTCTCTCTCTCTCTCTCTCTCTCTCTCTCTGTCTCTCACGAATAAATAAATAAAATCTTAAAAAAGAAAAAAAAGAAATATAGGATGGAAGAAATTGTAGCATGTTTGCAAGCTGTAAATGCAATATTCTGTTGTTAAGCCCTATTTTAGGGATTATAGAACCAAGACTCAGAAAGTTTAAGGAACAGAACCCGTGAGCAAAAGAACTAGGCTTTGAACTCCAGTCTCTCTGACACACTCCAAATCCATGCCCCTTAATAAATCACTTTTAAAAAACAAATTGGCAGTGACACAGTTTTCTTTTTCGTGTCACAATATGTCATGAGCATTTCCCCACATGAATAAAAAGTAAAATTTGACACAATTAGGAGGAGAGATATACAAATCTACAGTTATATGGACAGATTTAACTCACTTCTCTTAATATCTGATAGACCAAAAACAAAAAAAATCAATAAAGGAATGAAATATTTTAAACAACATGATCAACAAACTTGACCTAGGGACGCCTGGGTGGCTCAGGGGTTGAGCATCTGCCTTCAGCTCAGAGCATGATCCCAAGGTCCTGAGATTGAGGCCCACATCGGGCTCCTCTGTGGGTAGCCTGCCTCTCCCTCTGCCTGTGTCTCTGCCTCTCTCTGTGTGTGTCGCTCATGAATAAATAAATAACATCTTTAAAAACAAAAAACAAACTTGACCTAATTGAAGTTTGCCTGGGTGGCTCAGTCAGTTAAGCATATGCCTTGGGCTCAGGTCATGATCCCAGGGTCCTGGGATAGAGCCCCACATAGGCTCTCTGCTCAGTGGGGAGCCTGCTTCTCCCTCTGCCCCTGGCCCTGCCCCTCTCCTGGCTTATGCTCCCCTCCCTTTCTGTCTCTCAAATAAATAAAAACCTAATAATAATAATAAAAAAGCTTGACCTAATTGACATATATAGAACACTTAAGTCAGCCACGCACAATGCAAGTTCTTTGCAAATGCACATGGGATACACACTGAGCCATAAGCAGATTTCAAGAGACTTCAAAGGATTAAAATCATACAGAATACATTTTCTGATCACAGTGGAGTTAGCAAGAAATAAAAAACAGAACAATGACTTTTTTTTTTTTACAGAAAAAAGGTAATTAAACATTTGAAAATGAAGCAAAATACTGTAAACAACCCATAGGGCAAAGAGGAATTCTTAATAGAAAATTAAAACTGAGGGATCCCTGGGTGGCGCAGCGGTTTGGCGCCTGCCTTTGGCCCAGGGTGCGATCCTGGAGACCCGGGATCGAATCCCACATCGGGCTCCCGGTGCATGGAGCCTGCTTCTCCCTCTGCCTGTGTCTCTGCCTCTCTCTCTCTCTCTGTGTGTGACTATCATAAGTAAATAAAAAAAAAAGAAAATTAAAACTGAAAGATAATGAAAAGGCCACATATCAAAACTTATGGGATATAGCTAAAGCTGTACTTAAAAGGGAAGTTCATAGCCTTTAATTCATAGATTCGAAAAGAAGATTCAAAATCAATGACCTAAGTATCCATCCAAAAAAAGTAGAGGAAGAATGTACAAAGATCCTTTTCCAGAGGCTGGGAATAAGATGAGGATGACCGCTGTCACCATTCCTACTCACCATCACACTGGAGGTCTGAGACAGTGAGAGAGGAAGAAAAAAGAAATAAAAGTATGAGGGCCAGAAAAGAAGTGGGACTTCCATTATTCACGCATGACGTGAGTAGACTGCGTTCATAGAAAATCCCAAGGGATTTGCAAAGACCTTTTAGAATTAATAAATGTATCCAACAAGGCCATGATATAAAGTCAATATACAAAAACCAATCATATTTCTACACACCAGCAATAGACAGTGAGAAAATAAAATTGATCTGGGGACAGCACCTGTATCCCCAATCCCTAATAGGAAGATCGATGACCTCCCAGGTGTGAAGTCCTATCACAGTGCCTGGCACATCATAGGCCCTCGACAAATGCTCCTAACGTCATCATCGCTGTCGTGAATGTCATTCTTATCTGCCTCCCTTCACGCCTCCTTTCCTGTCCCGAGATCTCTTGAAGCCACCCTGCAACCCTGCAGGGGCCGTTGGGCCTCTTCCCCACACTCCAGAGGAGTCCGGCCGAGCCTCAGAGAAGTCTAAACACCGGCGGGAAAGATGTTCCATGCAGAAGGGAGTCTCTCCCATTAAAAGTGCTCTTGTAGAAGGATATTTATTCATGTAGAAAGATGTTCGTGAGATATTGTAACATGAACAAAAATAGCTGCACTACTCCAATAAAAAAAAAAGTACGTGTGAGTGCGTGTATGGGTCTCTTTGTGTGTATTTATAGAAAAAGACTGGAAGGTATAGAAGTTAATGTTACTAGTATTTATCCTGGAAGAAGATAGGCTCAGGATGATGGTTATTTTCTTTATATATATGCATATATATATATATATATATATATATATAATATATTTAGAGAGAGAGAGATCTCATGTGTGTCTGTGTGTGTGTGGAGAGAGAGAGAGAGACGTTTTTATCCAACAGCTGACACGAGAATTCTTCACAGGGAGAGTACCATGAGTTGCTGGGAGAGAAGAGAGAATATGGGTAAGTCTGGGGCCACGTGGGAAGCCGTGGCTGGTAGAAATTCCCAGGGGTGGAGGGGAAGGCTGGCAGAGGGCTGGCAGTGTTACGCTCTATTTGGAGTTGTTGGTGCTATAGGGACATTCCCCTTGGCTCGTCCCCATCTGTCCCCATCCTCAGTAAGCGAGGCCATATTCTGAATGCCCTCTGTGTGGACTCGAGTTTCTTTTCTTTCTTTTTTTTAAATTTTTATTTATTTATGATAGTCACAGAGAGAGAGAGAGAGGCAGAGACACAGGCAGAGGGAGAAGCAGGCTCCATGCACCGGAAGCCCGATGTGGGACTCGATCCCGGGTCTCCAGGATCGCGCCCTGGGCCAAAGGCAGGCGCCAAACCGCTGCGCCACCCAGGGATCCCCTGGACTCGAGTTTCACGTGTGTCTGGGTGGTGGAGACAGGGACAGGGACACGTACAGGCAGTACCCTCCTGGAGGGGCAGCCCTCGAACACACCGCGGGGAACCCTCGCAGGCCCCCCACCCCCGCAAGGCTTCATACCTCCCAGGTGCGCAGCCAAGGTCCTAACCTGGTGGTTCTAGATCTCTCAGAGTTAAGACCCCAGTTGACACTGGGTGGCATTTATTCTTCACTTGCTCTCAATGACATGCTACTTGCGGAACTGAAATGGAGCTGAAAAAAAAACGTTTGTCGCCCTCCCAACTGCTGGGCAGAGGGGCTGCAGCCTGACGGGGGTGGGGGGTGGGGGGGCTCACACCCAGAGCAGGCGCGAGGCCGAGCCTCCTCCAGGTAAATAGGAAGACAGGTAGAGCGACAGAAATGTGTATGGCCCGGTCCCCTGTCTCTGTTTGAGTTCAAGAACATAGAACAATGTCTGGGGGAGGGGGTGGGTAGGGAGGTGTGAAGAATGGAGAAGCATGGACTGTTCAGGGCATGTGATGGTGCCTGACCTTTTCCTCTTTCTGTGATTCTTGTTGTTGCTGTGCTGCTGCTTGTGTAATAAAAACAGGAAGGAGTTGGTCGGATAAAGGAAATGTCTTCACTCCTGGCCACCGCGTGCCCTCGCAGCCCCTTGTCCCAGAAGTGGACGGGCGAGCTGGGGAGGGGAGCCTGGGGGCACCTCACAACTCCATCCGTGCCAGGGCCCGGGGGCCACACGCGTGTTCATGTTCACAGCAGTTGCCCCAGGTGGGAATGCTTGTGCCCGGTTTACAGACCGGGAAGCCCCGAGGCTCAGAGCTCACTCGGCCGGCACCTCCCGAGCCGGGGAGCCCGCCCCTGCGTCAGGCCTGAGAGAGGCAGAGAGGCCCAGGCCTCCACTCACTGTGTAGACGGACTCCTCCGGAGGCTGCTCCTGGCGGGCGGCGGCGCTCGGGGCTGGGCCCTTCAGGGCGGGGTGCTTCCCGGGAGACTGCATCTGTCTCTGTGAGGAAGGGAGTCAGGGCTGTCAGGGCCCGGGGTGCGCGGCCCCCCACCTCACAGACCCCACCGGGGCAGAGAAGAGCAGATTGTCAGGAGGCCACCCAGGACCTCCTGCCCACCTTCCCCTCCGAGGAGACCTGGCAAATGCCTCCGGGACCCGCACCAAGCCGCCCATCTGCCTGCACAGACCAGAAATGGTGAAGACCCCCCCCCCACGAGGCACTGCCCAGGGACACAGGGCCAGGGTGACAGGGACCCTGGCTGCAGAGCTGACTGCGTGGGTGGTCCTGAGCAAGTGCCAGCCAGACCAGATGTCCGTCCACTCTGCCCCTGCCCCTCTCTGGGCCTCTATTCCTTCAGCGAGAACCCTCCTCTGCGAGATTGTCACAAGGACCCAGGGAGGTAACTACTCAGGGGTAAGTGCTTGGCACTCAGGTGGCACTAGGTGGCCATTGGCCGACCAACCCACACTTGTCAGCCCCCTCTTTTTGGCCAGGTGCTGTGAAGGGGTGGACACGTCCCTGCCTTCCTGGAACTGAGGACCTCATGGGGAGACAGATGATGAACACAGTTCTCATGGTGGTTTGTGCGCTGACCAACAGGACACAGCCTCTGGCACGCTCTGGGGGACAGATGCCTTGTCTGGAAGAAAGCGGTGTTTAAAATCTGAAAGCCAGGGTGCCTGGGTGGCTCAGCGGTTGAGCGTCTGTCTTTGGCTCAGGGCATGATCCCAGGTCAGGGGATCGAGTACCCCATCAAGCTCCTTGTGCAGAGCCTGCTTCTCCCTCTGCCTGTGTCTCTGCCTCTCTCTGTTTCTCATGAACGATTAAATAAAATATTTTAAAATAAATAAATAGGGATGCCTGGGTGGCTCAGCAGTTGAGCATCTGCCTTCAGCCCAGGGCGTGATCCCGGGGTCCTGGGATCGAGTCCCGCATTAGGCTCCCCGCAGGGAGCCTCCCTCTGTCTGTGCCTCTGCCTCTCTCTGTGTGTGTCTCTCATGAATAAATAAATAAATAAATAAATAAATAAATAAATAAATAAATCTTTAAAAATAAATAAATTAAATTAAACGATTAATAAATAATCTGAAGGCCGGGGCGCCTAGGTGGCTCAGTCGGTGAGGCATCTGTCTTTGGCTCAGATCATGATCCTGGGGTTCCAGCCCCATATTGGGCTCCCTGCTAGGCGGGGAGCCTGCTTCTCCCTCTCCCTCTTCCTGCTGCTCCCCCTGCTTGTGCTGTCTCTCTGTCAAACAAAATAAAATGAAAATAAAAATAAAATAAAATAAAATAAAATAAATAAAATAAAATAGTAAAACCTAAAGGCTGAGAAACTCCTCTGGCAGGAGAGGGAGGGGAGGCAGAGGGAAGAGCGTGTGCCAAGGCCCGAAGGTCTGGAGAAACCTAGAGACAGTCAGTGTGGCCAGAGAGAGGAGAAGCCGCCCGGATGGGCAGGGCCGAGCCAACAGTGTGGACGGTGGAAAAGATCTGAGTGCGTCAGACAGGAGATGCGGGGATTGGCAAGCAGGGTCAAGAAGCTCATGCTGGCCGCTGTGAGCAAGGCTGGTGGTCGCGGAGGCAGGGGTGCTGGGCCTGTGGGCAGACACGGGCCTGGGGGGGGGGACAGGGGGATGGGCGAGAAGCGGTGCAGCAGCTCCTTCCCAGACAGGGGGAGGCCATCCGGACACCCCCCTCGTCTCAGGCACCACACTGGCCACTGTGGAGGACAGCAGCCTCATTTTGGGGCAGGGGCTAATTAAAAATTCTGGCCGCCTGCCCATCCCCAGCCCGTTTACTCAGGATTAGCTCTCCAGAGCTACTTAACTGGCAGGCAGGAGCCAGAACCACCCCGGTCACAGCCTGACGGTGGCTCAGGAGAGGGAGCCAAGGTGGGGGGCTCTTTCTGAACGCATTACGTGCCCTGTCTCCTGTGCTTCTGAACAAACCTGCGAGACAAGTCTTCATGTCACCTCTGTTCCACACGTGAGGACTAGAAGGCTCAGAAAGGGCAGGAGACCTGCCTGAGGCAACAGAGCCAGCAGTGGCAGAGGTAGGATTTGAACCCAGGTCTGTCTGATTCACCAAGATGCCGACCCGACTGTATCTGGAAGGTTTGTTTTGTTTGAATGTGTGGGTCTCATAGACAGTTAGACAGGTGCTGGCATCTGTGTGGCCCTTTACAGTTTATAAAAAAACCCTGAGACTTGCTCTTAGTCTCACTTAATTCTCTTTATGGCCTGAGGAAGTAGACTCTACAGAGGGGTAAACTGAGGCTTGTCCAGCTAGTCAATGACTGCCTTTGGATGGAACCCAGATGCCCTGTTCCAAATCTAGTGGCCCGCCCCTGCACCACCTGCTTCCTGAGGCATCTGTCCCATCAGAGGCTGTGGCTGGCCTCCAGACAGCTGGGGGGCTGGTGCCTCTCCCCTCGTTGAACCTGTCGGTCTGGACGCCGTCAAGGCTGGTGGGTGTGAGCTCCTGGGACCCGCGGTGAACAAGACCCAGGCCTGTCCTTGTGGTGCTCCTGCTGACACTGGTAGGGCTGCCAGGGATGTGGGAAGGAGCCCCACGACTGCCAGGAGCTGGAGCAGACTCCTGAGGGCTTGCCCTGCCTCCCAAAGACAGGGGAAGAGCTCAAGAAAGTTGTCACAGGCCACAGGGACAAGGCCCAGGATGGCGTCAGGACAGGGATATCACACGTTGGGGACACGCGTCAGGATGGCCCATCAGAAAGTGGCCAATGGAAGTAAAAGATGAAAGCAGGTGAGCCGGGAGCCTGGCAAGGGCACTGCCTCAGAAGGCAAGGCAGGACCCACAGTGTCTTCCCTCGGAGCGCAGGGAAGCCGTCAGTTTGGGGAGTGGGCTGCGAGCTGGGAGGGCTGCTAAGAGGAGGAGGCAAGAGATCTCCAGGATGGGTGCTGGAGAGGGGTGCAGAAGAGGCCTGGGCTGTGGCACACAGGGGGTGCCCCCCTCGAAAAATCAGATGGGTGCACTTTGTGATGGGCAAGGAGGGACCCTGCCCTCCCTGGCTACCTCGTTCTCTGCCATCAACATTTGCCCTTCCAGCTGTGACTTTCAAATGAATAAACCAATCAATGTGGCCACCAGCAGCTCAGGAAACCTGCAGAGCCTCAGTTTCCCCCTCTGTAAAATGGGAGCAATACTGTCACCTCGCCCACCTCACAGCCTGCCCCCCCCCCCACACTCCTCTTCCAAGGTCTCAGCGCTCACTTACTAAGCCATTCCTCCCACAAGTGCTTAGCGTGTCAGGCCCCCCCCCCCCCCCCCGCCTCAAGGACTTAAGGAGGGGGGAAACAGTGACAAAGACCTAAGCACAGAGCTTATGGGCAGCAGAGCTGGAGGGGACAGAGTGGGAGCAGGGACACCTGCATGTGGGTGAGGGGGGTGGGGCAGGGGAGAGGGCTGTATCCTTCACAGACTGGGGGCAGGGTGGTGGGGGGGTTGGGAGGGAGCCAAGTGCAGCTCTGAGGATTTTGGCCTGAGCCTCTGGGGGCCTGGCACCCTTTGCCTGGGCAGGGCAGACTCAGATGCTAAAGAGTGGTGCCCGGGACAGTGGGTGCGGGTGCCCATAGGTCTCCCAGGGTGGAGGTGGTCTAGGGCTCAGGGACAGGCCTGGGCAGTGTCGGGGCGGGGGGGCGGGGGGGGTGAGGATCGTCACCCCAGGAGCAGAACTATCGCTGGGGAGTGTAGGCAGAGTGGGGGGGGGGTGCTCCGAGGAAGGGACCTCAGACCTGTGATGGCCAGAGGCCACCACGAGGCAGGTGACCAGCACAGGGCTGCCTGGGGGTCCTGCAGGCAAGGGAAGAAGTGTGCAGGGGAGGAGGGTGCCCTTAGGGAATGAGCACGGGTCAGCGATCAAGGTCAGAGGCTGCCGCCCTGGGAAGCTGGGGTGGGAGCCCTCTGGGCTTCTCCCACGCAGGAACCATCTGCTGTTTCTGTGCCAGCAGCTCCTGGCTTCGATTCATTTACCCGCAGCCGCCGGTGCCTCTAGGGCCCTCCTTGCCTCCTCCTCCTCCTCCCTGGCCTCCTCTCAGTCTCCAGGGCTGACTGCCCGGCCTGGTCACCGGGGAGGGGGGGGGGGACGACTCTGTTCCTGCACCTCATTCAAACCATGCTGGCGAGGGGCGCCTGGGTGGCTCAGCGGTTGAGCGGCTGTCTTTGGCTCAGGTCATGATCCCGGGGTCCTGGGATAGTCCCCACATTGGGCTCCCCATGGGGAGCCTGCTTCTCCCTCTGACTCTCTCTCTCTCTGTGTGTGTCTCATGAATAAATAAATAAAATCTTATAAAAACAAAAACAAAAAGCAAGCTGGCGAGCAAAGTGAAGGGCTGCCAGGGACTTTCTGACGCTGGAGCATCATCCACAGGGTCCACATCCCAAATTCAGATCCGGTTCCAGGGAGCTCTGGGCACTTCTCCAGCTTCTGAGTTCCCTCTCCAAGGCCCCGCTCCCTCACCCTCGCTTCCTCTTCCAGGTGCCCAGAGGGAGACAGGAAGTGTCTAGGCTTGTCCTCCCACCCTGGGTCAGGCACCCAGCTGGTGCCTCGTAAATGCTCTCTTCCACCCTTTCCAGGTGGGGGTGGAGCGGGGATCCACCCTTATCCCCATTTCTGGAGGAGGAAAGCAAGGCTCAGAGAGAGCTGTAGCTCGATGAGAGGGCAGGGGCTGCATCTGTCTTGCTTTCCACAGTGTCTGGCACGTAGCCCGGTGCCTGGCACGTACTAGATACTCAGGAGCTATTCCTGGAAGGAGAGAGGCCAGGAGTCGTGGAAGTCCCGCAGCAGGGGGGGTGCTGGGCTCGGAAGTCTGGCTGGGGCTATCACCCCCTCCCCTCCTCCTCACCAGACTTTCCTGAGCATCTACTATGTGCCAGGTGCCTCCCTGGCCTTGCAGGACCCCAAGATCCAGTCATTACAATCCTGTTTTTGCAGAGCAGTGGAGGCTTCATGCCCACGGAAGGCACCTAGCCTGTGTGGGGGTCCACGGACCGAGTATGGGTCCTTCATGACCCCTGCCCGAAGCACAGTCCCTGTGTCCACACCCAAGTTCCAGTAGCTTCTCCGCAGATGTTCACTGAGTGACAAATCAAGAGCCGTCCCACCTGCTACCAGCATGGGATGAGCAGTGGGGTGGGGGTGGGGGGACATATTGGGGGGTGAGAGCCAAGCTGGGCACATAGTAGGTGCTCAGTATGTGTTGGTTGAGGTGGGCCCAGGGGCGAGTGGGCTCTGTCCTCAGCCCGGGATTCACGGGAGGCCCAGTGAAGCATTTCCCATCATCTTCTGTTTTCGCTGTTGAGTGGTCCCTGTGACCAGGCCAGAGGCAGGGAGCCGGGGGCCCACGGAGGGGGCATGGCCCCCCCAGGACCTCATAGCAGAGCCTGCTTCTGGGCAGAGCAGAGTGAACTCCTTCTGCAGCTTGTCAGCAGGATGAGCGGGTCACGCCAAGTTCACGCCCCACATCTGTGGCGTCCCAAGGCAGATCACAGGACAGGAGAGGAACTAGAGGGGTACTGGGCTTGTCACCAGGCTCCGGCTCACAGATGGCAGCAAGGCAACCTCCGGAGTTCCACGGCAGATCAAGGGGTCACGTTCACCTTCTTTTCTCACCTTGGAGCCTTTTCTGGAGGCGTGATTATGTCTCCAGCCTCGAGGCAAGGTGGGGAATGGAGGCCCAGGTTCAAGTCTCAGGCCTGCGTGTCCTGGCCGTGTGTGTGGCTCAGCCAAGTCCTTGGCCCTCTGACCGTGGGCTGCCTCTGCCATCCTTCTATCCCACAGGCGTCTCCCTGACACCCACCTCAGCGGGTCCTGAGCTGGAGGCACCTACCTGGAGTCCCTCCCCCCCAGCCCATGGGCTCTAGCCCTGTGTCGCCTCCTCAGCAACTCTCAGCAGCCCCACCTTCAGCCTCTAACCTGCCTTGCTTGCCACCTCCCCAGAAGCTGCCCTCGTCCCAGCCTTGGTCACCTCCGCCTGGACTAATGTAGCTCCTCATGGAGTCTCCCTTCCCCACTCTCACAGCGGCCAGAGGGTCCACGGAGATCAAATCCTATCTCACTCCTCCCCACAGCCTGCAGGACCACCCACTCACTTTGAGTACAACCAGCCAATGCCCCTCCCCTCCCTCCTCTGCTCCCTGAGCTCAGGCCACACCACACCCCCATGTGAGACTCTCTGCAGCTCCAGCTTCAGAGCCCATACCTGCTGTTCCCCTGCTGGGCACACTCTTCCTGACGTCTGCCTGCTCCCCTCCTTCCAGGTGCAGTGTGGGGAGGCCTTTCCTGACTTTATTTGAAAAGATTTTTATTGGGACGCCTGGGTGGCTCAGCAGTTGAGCATCTGCCTTTGGCTCAGGACTTGACTCCGGGATCCCAGGATCGAGTCCCACATCAGGCTTCCTGCGTGGAGCCTGCTTCCTCCTTCTGCCTGTGTCTCTGCTTCTCTCTATGTCTCTCATGAATAAATAAATAAAATCTTTAAAAAAAAAACGATTTTTATTTATTTATTCATGAGAGACCCCCGTGTCTTCGCAGTACTTACTGTCTAGCATGGAGGGCCGGCATCGAACAAGAAACCACAGGCATGGGTGACAACGAGGCAGAGACATAGGCAGAGGGAGAAGCAGGCTCCCCGTGAGGAGCCCGATGTGGGACTCGATCCCAGGACCTCGGGACAATGACCTGAGCCAAAGGCAGATGCTCAACTGCTGAGCCACTCAGGTGCCCCCTTTCCTGACTCTTTTTTTTTTTTAATTTTTTTTATTTATTTATGATAGTCACAGAGAGAGAGAGAGAGGCAGAGACACAGGCAGAGGGAGAAGCAGGCTCCATGCACCGGGAGCCCGACGTGGGACTCGATCCCGGGTCTCCAGGATCGCGCCCTGGGCCAAAGGCAGGCGCCAAACCGCTCCACCACCCAGGGATCCCCCTTTCCTGACTCTTAATTAAAGACTCCAAGCTCCCCCATTCCCTCGCTCACTCCTCTCTTAGCATTATTGTATTTTCCCCTCAACACTGACCACGTCCGTTATGCTAATTATTCATACGTTTGTTTATGGTCTGTCTCCCCTCAGCTGAAATACAAATTTGACGAAGGCAGGAATTTCTTGGGGATCAATTTTAGTCATTGCTGGAACCCCAAAGCCTAACAGGGCCTGGAATTTAGTAGGTCCTCAATATGTGTTTAATGAGTGAACACATGAATTCCCATCTAAGTGGGGGGGCTTCCTTGGGTGTAGATAGGGACCAGCCCTTTGGGTGCAAGGGCTGAGCTTTTCTTGACCCAAGGAACACGCATGGTGGTGTGGAACCTCTCCCACACTCAAGGCCTTCATTGACTGAGCTGATCCCCAGGTTTAGCCCCTAAGGCTGGCAAGGAGCAGAGAAGCTCTTGGTCCCTAGATGGTGGAGCACTGGCCCAAGTGGGTCTGACTGAAGCCTCTGAGGACCCAGGACAGGGACCCCTGGGGTGCTCAGTGGTTGTGCATCTGCCTTCAGCTCAGGGTGTGATCCAGGGGTCCTGGGATCGAGTCTGAATCGGGCTCCCCGCAGGGAGCCTGCTCCTCCCTCTGCCTGTGTCTCTGCCTCTCTCTCTGGGTCTCTCATGAATAAATAAATAAAATCTAAAAAAAGGGGATCCCTGGATGGCTCAGTGGTTTGGCACCTGCCTTTGGCCCAGGGTGTGATCCTGGAGTCCTGGGATCGAGTCCTACATCAGGCCCCCGACCTGGAGCCTGCTTCTCCCTCTGCCTATGTCTCTGCCTCTCTCTCTGTGTCTCTCATGAATAAATAAAATCTTAAAAAAAAAAAAAAAAAAAAAGGAGCCAGGACAGAGGGCCCTAATGGCAGCTTGGAGCTGTGCTGGTCATCTTCCCCCCCAGAGCCAGGCAGAACCTGGCACCCCCCTGGGCAATGCATTCTTCCACCCAACATTTACTGAGCGCCGACCATGCCTGGGCATGCATGGAGCCATGGAAACAAGCTCAGCGTGGCCTCTGTCTTTGCGGCACTTACTGTCTGGTGTGGAGGGCCAGCATCGAACAAGAAACCACAGGTGTGGGTGACAATGAGAGTGACAAGAGCCCACTGGAGAGACAACTCTCCCTGCATTGGTGCCACCGCAGCCGAGCAGGAATCAGCCAGGTGTAGAGCCAGACCCATCCACCTGCGTTCCAGCCCTGATTCTGACTGTGCTTGCTGTGTGACCTTGGGCAAGTCACCACCTCTCTGGGCCTTGCTTTCCAGGGTTGTAAAATGGGAAGAAACCTCCCTCACGGAATCACGGTGGGACACGGAGGAGAGCACGTAGCAGGGTGCCTGGTAGACAGTGGCTCTTAGGAAATGCTTCTTCCTCTCTTCTGGGCTGCTGGGGATCCAGAAAGCCCTAGCCAGGGGCTCCTAATCTGAAGGGCCAGTAATGGGGCTTGAGCCTTCCATTGAGTACTCACGAGGACCCATGACCTGGAAAAGGCTGAAGAGCCCTGATTTTGTACAACAAGATCCAAAGACCCTGGGGAGTGGCAAGCTGGCGGCACAGGCCCCACTATGGGGATGGCCGAGGGTGTAAGAGGCCATGAGGAACACCTGTCGCAGGCCCCCTCACCAAGGCCCACGGGGACACCGTGGGGGCAGGTGGGTGGCCCCTCCGCTCCCCAGGAGGTACCCCGAAGCCACAGTGAATGAGGTGGAGGGGCAGCGCTGCTGTGCGTGTGCATCCCCTACCTTCTTCCAGAGCAGCAGAGCTGTGACCAGGATGCTCAGCGCAGTCAGGAGACCAGTGAAGCAAAGGAGCAGGAGCTTCTGGGGGTTCTGTGGAGGTCCTCGGTACCCTGTGTCTAGGGGGGATGGCAGGGAAGCAGAGGGTTAATCACCTGAGAAAGGCTGGGGTGCTCCCCACCCCGCCAAACCCTAGGCCCCTAATTCCTACGTTCTCCTTTAGCCAGGACTCCACCTACAACACGGAACTCCCCAAACACCCACCTTTACCAAGCTCCTCATTCCCAAGCTTGCTTTTGGTGAAACCCTTTTCTGTGTTAGCTGCCTTGATTCTTTTTCTTTTTTTAAATTTTATTTATTTATTCATGAGAGACACAGAGAGAGGCAGAGACACAGGCAGAAGGAGAAGCAGGCTCCGTGCAGGGAGCCCGATGTGGGACTGGATCCCAGGACCCCAGGATCACGCCCTGAGCTGAAGGCAGGCGCTTAACCGCTGGGCCACTCAGGGGTCCCTGCTGTCTTGATTCTTGTTCGGGGCAAGGACCATAGCTTTTGCTTCTGAAGTGTCCCTGCCTTGGGCTGAATCAGCCCCCTGAGAGCTCCCCGTGGGACCCTGGGTGAGTCACGTCATCCCTCGGGGCCTTCTGTTTTCGGCACGTGAAATGGTGGTCACACGCGCAGGTGTGCTGAGGGCAGGGGGATGGGTTTGGACTGGGCCTCGCCGGTGGCTGGCCTGTACCAGGGGTAGGTGAAAGGCATAGCCCGGCCCCTCCCCTTGAGCCATCCATCCTTTTATCCCTCCCCCGGCCCCCCCTCCTCCATCCATCCATCCATCTGGCTGACAAAAAACTGCAGAGTGCCAGCCACGTGCCAGGCACATCCATGTCTGTTATTTATCAAACATTTCCTATTACCAGACAGCAGCCCCTGCCCGCAGGATCTCATTCTCCCCATAAAAGCCATGAAGCCCAGGCCCACAGCACACCCTGGCCAGCCCAGCTCGGTGGCGTTCCCAAACCCCAACCCCTACTGGTGGGAAGCACAGGGGCAGGTCACAGCATCATGGCTTTGCTGATGATAACTTTTTACAGTCATCGCTCCTTTGGGGATGTGATAAAACTAGGAACCTTTCCCAGACATATGTACATGAGCCAAGTGTTCGCTCGCGGGCTGCCGCAGACACACATGTGCACGAGCCCAATTGTGTACTCACTGCCCCCCCCCGACACACACACACACACACACACACACACACACACACACACGGTGCCGGAGGGACGCTGAGCCTGAGGCGCTGGTGACTCCTCTCAGGCACCTCCCAGAGGGGGCCAGACACAGATCTGTATCCCAGGCCTCTGCCCTTCCCAGATCAAGGTAGACGTCGGCACACCTGCACCACCAGCGGCCCCCGGAGGACAACGTTCTGTTCTGCCAAAGCTGGCAGATGAGACAGACATTGCCCATTTTAAGATTCTGTGCCCCAAATGCTGCTGTGAGAAAGCTCTGGGCCCTTAGCCCTGGGAGGAGCCCCGCGGGAAGCCTCACCTCTGACCAGAATGAAGACGCCGTCGCTGATTCTGTGGACGTTTGGCCAGTTCACGCAGCAGTAGTAGGTGCCCGTGGCTGATGCGTTGGGCAGCTTGAGGGTGACCTGGCATTGCAGGGTGTATGTCTGGTTCTCCTTGCCCTGGGTGGGTGGGCAGTTAACCTGCTTGTTGAGGCTCCTCTGGCTCTTGAGGTCCACGTGAAAGTACCAGACTGTGAAGTCCTTGAATTCTGGGGTGTATGAGTAGGTGATTTTGCAGTTGAAGGAAATGGCCCTGTTGGCCAAGGAGACCAAGATGGGGTCACCACTGTGGGTCACCGACTGCCCTCCTGCAGGGGAAGGAAAAGGAAAGAGTGGAAGCTCACCCTCCAGGATGCTAGAGGCCCTTCTGCTGCCTTCCGAGGCCCTCAGCTCACACTCACATCTTTCAGGAAGTCACTGAGTGCAGGTGTTGGGCCAGGTGCTTTACACATAGAACTTGCCATCTCCCAACACACCCAAGGCAGATGTGTCAGAGCTCCACTTCACAGAGAGGAAGAGTCCAAGGGTCAGGCAGGTCAAGCTGCTAGCTTTCAATCTCTCAGCAGGTACGGAGGAGAGCTACAACCCTGCCCAAGGCGGGCAGACTCCAGACCCCACACTCCTCACCACTCTTCTGCTCAAAGGCCAAGAAGCCACGTTGGATAAAAGCACCGGTTTGAGAAGAACCAAAGCTGCTGAAGGATGAGAAGTAAAGAGCAAGGAGGCCGGAGACAAAATAAAGGAACCCTTCCTGGCAGGACGAACTCCCTGGCAGTAGACACACAGAGGGGAGCCATGGCTCTCCCCAGCCTGAAGGAGGAGGCACGGCAGGCATCAGCAGACACAAACCTTGCCCCGGATCTGAGCTCAGAGAAGACTTTGTCAACACAGAGGTAGCCGTTTTGGGCACAACCAGAACATTCAATGACCGTTACAAAGGCGGGTCTGTGGGAGCCTCCTTCCTCTCTGGACACCTGGACACCCGTCCTCATCACAGGCCCCTGGGAAACCCATTTGAAAGCCCCACAGCAGGGCAGCCTGGGTCACTCAGCGGTTTAGCGCCACCTTCAGCCCAGGGCGTGATCCTGGAGACCAGGGATCAAGTCCCACGTCGGGCTCCCTGCATGGAGCCTGCTTCTCCCTCTGCCTGTGTCTCTGCGTCTTTGTCTCTGTGTCTCTCATAAATAATAAAATCTGAAAGAAAGAAGGAAAGGAAGAAAGAGAAAGAAAGAAAGAAAGAAAGAAAGAAAGAAAGAAAGAAAGAAAAAGAAAGCAAGAAAGCAAGCCCCACAGTAGCCCCTGCCGGGCCCGGCCTCCACCCCCCTGTGGACTCCCGAGGCTCAGTCGGACCCCAGGCCCGAGTCAGCGCCGGCCACCTCTCACCCCCAGACTTCAGCCCACAGGCCCCCTCAGCCTACACAGGCCTCGTCCCCTGCCACCTTCCTGCTCCCGCGGCCGAACAGCAGACAGGTCTAAATTGAGGTCAGCAGCAGGCAGCCAAGAACACGCCGGCCAGGTTGTTAATCGGGAGGAGATCATGCATTTGAGATGCTCAGAGGGAGCTGCTAGATTTATCTTGTTGGGGAAAGGGAGGCGCGGGTCCCCCTGCCTGTGATGCGGGGCCAGCGTGAGGCCAGGCTGGACTCTCCTCTGGGCTCCTCTGTTGAGCACTGGGTCCCCAGGGGAGGTGAGGTCAGGTCCTCTGGAAGACTTGGGGACAGGACAGAGGTGACCCTCTAAACCAGTCAATTCCCTGAAGCTCCGGCCACTGATATTTTGAGATTCCTGTCGAGTAACTAAAGAGATTGCCCCTCCTCCAAAGAACTAAAGGCGGTGACAGTTCCAGGGAATCGGCCGGATGTCCCAGCGGACCGGCTTCCTTGTACTGCATTAATATGATGATGCTGGGACGCCTGGGGGGCTCAGCGGTTGAGCGTCTGCCTTTGACTCGGGTCCTGATCCCAGAGTCCCGGGATCAAGTCCTGCATCGGGGTCCCCGCAGGGAGTCTGCTTCTCCCTCTGCCTGTGTCTCTGTGTGTCTCTCTCTGTGTGTGTCTCCCATGAATAAATAAATAAAATCTTTAATAGTAATAATAATAGGACGATATTCACACATGGAGAAGCCACTGAGCTGGCACCCTCGGCCCTCCTCCTGTGGTGGGTGGGACAGGAAGGAGTTCACAGGTGCTTTGTGTCTCTGGGCTCTACTGCAGGGTGGCTGTTGTGGCTTAGCTATGACAACACATTCGATCTGTCATCAAAACAAGGAGCAGTGACTCAGGGCTGAGGTTTGCCTGAGATGCGGTGGCCAGGGCTGGGATGCGGCGGGTGGAGAAAGGGGTGGTTGTGTGACCCCAAGTAAGGACGAGGGGCCAGAGGGCTGAGATGGATGTTATTTGCCCTGCCCAGCAAGGCCGCCTCCTTCCCTGCCTCCCCAAAGTGGCTACTTCCCCCTCTGCCTCCACCCCTGCAGGCCCCTCTGCCTGAGCCTCCCACCTCTTCACCTGGCCACCACCTACCTAGTCCCCCAGACTCAGCTCGGGAAGCACTCTGATTTCTAGCCACATTCTCTGGTGTGGCTGTCCAGGCGGCCCGGGCAAGCGGAGCCAGGCCGGTGCTTCCTGCTGGGGGTCAAGAGGATGGAACTGGACCAAAGCCACCAGGAAAGTGACCCACCAGGGCTGGCACGGAGGCCTCTCTACCTCCCCTGGGGCCTCCTGCTTCTCTACTCCATGTGTCTAGGAGGCCTGGGGAGGCTGGACACCATCAGGACTGCAAGGCTACCTTCCTGTTTGTCCTGGCAGGAAGATACCCATCCAATTGTCTGAAAATAATTTTCTGCATTATGGGGTGCCTGAGTGGCTCGTGCTGAAGCATCTGCCTTCACCTCAGGTCATGATCTTGGGGGTCCTGGAGTGGAGCCCACTGTCAGGCTCCCTGCTCGGTGGGGAGTCTGCTTCTCCTTCTGCCCCTCCTGCTCATGCTCTCTCTCTCTCTCTCTCAAATAAATAAGCAAAATCTTTTTTAAAAATTTTCTGCATTTGAGGTATCTTTCTAGAAAATGATGGAATGTGTCAGTGTGATTAAGCCAATCTTTACAATTTGGGGGGAGACGTATAAAATTAGATGACTATTGTTCTGTGTTCTTCCAGGATTCAGTATTTTAAGGTCAGAGGGTTAGGATCATGATGACAGTATGTGGCCCCAGCTCGGATCTGCCCTGGAGGAGAGCCTGAGACCTCAGGAGAAACCACAGACTCCAAGAGTGAGGAGGGAAGCAGTCTCTGTCGATCTGGAAGAACAACCAGTCTGGGGACAGCAGGTGAAAAATGAGAGGGAAGCTGGCCTGCCGTGGCCGACAGGAGCCTGGGTTCGAGCCTGATGCTGCAGCCCATTGTCTCCACTGCCCCTTCTTTTTTGGAGGGTGTTAGCACCCCGGAGCTGGGACCGCTGCAGCTCAGCTCCCACTCCCCTCCTAGACCGTGCCTCCAACACACCCCCTCTGGGGTACAGGCTACTCCAACTGGCTGCTAAGTGCCCCCCCCCATTAAGGCTCAGTGCTATAGACAGATCCACAGTAACTCCCGTGTCCACAAATGGTTTTCAGCTACCATTTGTTGAACCCCCAACGAACATTTAAGGAGTACCAGTTAGGTCACAGGCCCCATCCCAGGCCTGGAGGGGCTCCCTGCCCTGGCATCACGGAAGCAGAGGGTGCCAGGGGTGGGAGGGCTCATGGGGAGGGTATTACTAATCCTGTCTGGATGTGTGGGAGGAGGACCTGTGGGAGGAGGGACATGCTGGTGACCTGGAGCTCTGGAGGTCACCAGGGAACGGAAAGCAGGCACATGCATGGATGGCAGGGCTAGAAATGGCCCGAGGATAGAAGGGAAAGAAAATACATTAAAAATGTACTCTGGCTGGGCACGACACAAGCCCTCTGTCAACCAATCACCACAACAATCCTTTGAGACAACATTTGCAGCCCCGTTTTGCAGACAAAAGACCCAAGAGGGTCTTAGAGGCCCAGCAGCTCAGAGCTCCCGACTGGTGGAGTGGGATCTGAGCCCAGGCCTGCCTGTGCTGAGAATGTAAAACCAGCCCCCAGGGCTAGCAGCTCAGACTTAGGCAAGTGTGGCCTGGCATAGGGCTGGGAGCCCTCACAGTGACACCAAGCACCGTAGACATCAGCTGCTGAAGACAGGGGTTCGTGGGATTCCTGGCACAAGCCACGTCTTTTCGCAGTTGGTGGACGGGTGGCCGCATGACAGAGAGCAGGGGTCACTTGGCCTGCCTTTTGTGCCTAGTTCTCACCCCAGACCCAGAGGGGCTTCAGCAGGACCCTTCCCAAGCTTGCAGTGTGTCCCGAATGCACAGTGGCTGGTACCCATCTTGCACCTGGTGGCGGTTGTATCACACTCTGTCCATTGTTTAGGCAAAGGGGGTATGTCCCCCATGGAACAAGGTGGGCCAGCACGGAGTGAGCTGGCTGGGGATCCTCTTAGATTCTCCTCATGGGCCTCCAAGAGGGATACACAGCCCAGGGAGGAGGACCAGGGGGATTTGGATTCCTGGAGGGAGGCAGAGCCACAAGAGCCCGGATGGCACACCCCAGTGACCCACGAGAGGGGGTCCACTGCAAGCCCTGTGAGGACCCAGAGCACAGGGCCAGCTGTCCACAGCACCTGACCAGCAGGGCTCCCTTGCCCTCTCCCTGCTCCTTCCCAGTCCCCTGTCTCCACCCAGCTGACACAGGGAAGGACCGGGAGGGGGTCTGGGGGGAAGAAGAGAAGAGGCCCCTCACCTCTTCCTCTCACGCAGGTCCCAGATGCCGCCTTCAGCATGCATCAAGTTCAGCCTTTGGGGGAGCATCTGGGTGTCCAGAGGTTGAGGGTCTGCCTTCAGCTCAGGGCGTGATCCTGGGGTCCTGGGATCGAGTCCCGCATCGGGCTCCCTGCATGGAGCCTGCTTCTCCCTCTGCCTATGTCTCTGCCTCTCTCTCTGTGTCTCTCCTGAATTATTAAATAAAATCTTTAAAAAAAAAAAAAGTTCAGCCTTTTGGCTGTTCCTCTGGTTAGAGAAAGGAGAACCAGGACTTGGTTTTGACTGTGAGTGACCCCAGGGCAGAGTGCCTGGAATAGGCCAGGATGGCTGGGCTTTCCCCCAGGCACCGGGGCACAGGCCCCTATATGAAAGGCCTAAAGGGCCCCAGGAGGAACACAAAGTTGCTCTGCGGATAATTCTCCAGGAGGCGGGTGGGGTCTTGGTGCAGCCTGGGCCGGGACAGGCACAGGGAAGAAAATGCAGCCGGGAGCCTGGATTGTTTTCTGCAGGGAGATGGTTCATTCAGTTCACGAGCTCCCTGCCTGACAGGGAGAGGGCCTGGAGGTGGCCGAGGGCAGCGCGGAGGAGGGGATGCGGGCAGGTGGATCCCCCACCTGCCTGTGTAACTGCTCTTTCCCAGCGCAGAAGGAGAGAAAGGAGGAGCCGTAGGGGCGGGGAGAGTCCGAAGGCTGGGGGTGGGGATGGGGGTGGAGCGTGGGCCTGCGTGGATGTGGATGGTGGTGCCCAGCAGAGAAGAGGGCCCCCCTGGTGGGTGCAGTCCAGGAGGGGAGGGCAGGAAGGGGAGGAGCAGGCCCAGCCAGAGGACCTTGTTCCTCAGGGCCACCACCCCAGGCCAGCCCTGCCCCTGAGCTTGTGACACTTAGGGCATCCCCAAGCCCACCCTCCCCACCCCTCCCCACTGCAAGCACAGATGGTTCCCCTGGGCAGGGCAGGCTATGCTGCTTTGCAGGAGAGTGTTTTTAGGGAAGGCGTGTCTTCCATCCCTCACTTCTCAGCAGCTCCAAGGACTGCTACAAAGCCTGGGACGCCGCCAGATATATGGGGGTGAGGGGTGCCTGGGAAAAGCCTAGTTTCTACTTTTTTGAAAATTTATTTATTCTTTATTCAGAGAGAGGCAGAGACACAGGGAGAGGGAGAAGCAGGTTTCCTGCAAGAAGCCCGATACGGGAATCGATCCCAGGACCCTGGGATCACGCCCTGAGCCGAAGGCAGATGCTCAACCGCTGAGCCACCCAGGTGTCCCAAAAGCCTAGTTTTTTGAGGCATCAGGCCTGGGTTTGGATCCCTGCTCTGCCACCCAAACGCTGTGCAAACTTGGGCAGGTGGCTTTCTATCTCTGAAGCTTGATGTCTGCCCAGAAAAATGGGAGAACAACAACGCCAACCTTACACAGTTGGCATGGGACTAAAAGGAGCCAGGAACAGTCAGAGGCTGCCACAGGGCCAGGCTGCCTTTCCCCAGTGACAAGAAAGAGGCAAGGGAGTTGGATGAGTCCTGCGTCCTCACTGAGTCTGGAAAGGCAAATGTCCCACGTAAGTGACAGGCCTGCAGTGCAGGGCACATGCAGCATGGAGTGGCCTCCAAACATGACAGCCTGTCTACCACCTTGGGCCCTGTCCCAGCCTGGACGCAGGGGAGTGGGTGACCCCCTGGGGCACAGACCCTGGGCCTGGTCCTCAAGGCTACCCTGGCAGGTATTCAGTGTGTAACTACAGGAGCTCTGAGCCCAGAGGACCGTCCCCCCAGCAGCCTCCACTGTTCTTCCCCCATCCTGCTTGTCTGTTCCCTGGTTGGGAAAGATTCCGTCTACCACCTGCTGGCACCAGATCCTTCCCTTTCTGGTTCTTCTTTTGAATCTGTGGCCATTTGAATGGTGTTCTTGAGAGGTGGCTGGGGGTGCCCCACTCCCACCCTGGCCCAGGGACCACATGCCGAGTCCCTGGGGGGAGAGATTCACAATCAAAGAACTTGCCTGGATGTAGGAAGGATACCCACCCCGTCTGCCCTCCCCACACCCTACACAACACACCCCCTGTCCACCTGCCAGCTCCAGAATCCAGGCTTCTCTCCGCGCAGCCAGAGACCTGCCTGGCGCTGCTCCCAAGGGAACCACAAACACCTTGTCGACCTTGCTGGGTGCCCACCAGAGGAGACCCAGGAAGGAGTCTGAAATCAATTTACATGATGAGGACAAGCAGTTCAAAAAAATAGAACAGGAAGCATTTTGTGCGTAATAAGGGCACTTTTTGTGACCTTCTGGCTCTAGTTACAGTCATACAACCAGGTTCAGACAGGGTCATACTATAACATGCATCCCTTAACTTTGGATCACCTTTTAAAAAAAAAAATTGCAAGTCCCTGGGTTGGAAGATCCAGTCTTCCAGTCTATGCCTCCAGCTCCCCTTCACCCACTACCCGGCAGACGCCAGGCCTGCCAGGCTCTGCAGCCTTTGCCTACGTTATTCCCACTGCTCAGAAAGCCCTCCTGTTCCCTTCCTCTCCCAGGACTGTGGGATCGCCCTCTACACCTGAAGGACTCCTTTCCTTCCTGAGCCACTCCGGGGTACATGGGTCCCCCTGCCCTGAATAGACTCTCAGGTGTTGCTGTTAAGCCACGTGATGATAAGCACTGATATCTCTGGGACACACACCCCTTTTACAGATGAGAAAACTGAGGCTCTGAGAAAGGAAGAGGTTTGCCCAGAAGCACAGCCAGTCAGTGGCGAGGATGTGAGTTTAAGCTGGGTCCCTTTGGGTCCTTACCCCCATGCTCTTAACTCCTGCTCTGTGGCATGATTTTTAAATCCAAAAGCAAGAAAAAGAAAACATTTCTCAAATGAAAGAGCTGCACCCTTTAAAGGGAGCTAGAAATTCAGAAGCCAGGAACGCCTGGGTGGCTCAGCGGTTGAGCATCTGCCTTTGGCTCAGGTCATGATCCCGGGGTCCTGGGATCAAGTCCTGCATGGGGCTCCTTGCATGGAGCCTGCTTCTCTCTCTGCCTGTGTCTCTGCCCCTCTCTCTGCATCTCTCATGAATAAATAAAATCTTAAAAAAAAATTCAGCAGCCATTTCCCTAGATTTGGGTCATCTAATAGGCAGACAGGTCCAGCAGCGTATGGTATCTTCAGACCAAGGTACTCATCAGAACTGACCCTTCAGCTTAAGGGGGAAACAGCTTCGAGGAGGGCCTGTGGCTCCCAGAGCAGAAGCAAGTGGCCGCACAAGCCCTCTACAGACCTGTCCCTTGGCAGCACCAGCCAAGTGTCCAAAGGGCCAGCCATGTCCCCCCTTCACCTCAGCGACGACACCACCCGCACCCAGAATCTGGCCCTCCCTCCCACCCCCCGCACTCCCCTGGGCTGCCCTGGCCTCCTCGCAGTCCCTGTGACCCACCAACTTGGGGCCCAGGCCTGGGCCCCAGGTCTCCCCTCTGCCTGGAACGCCAGCCTGCCTGGGGCCCGGAGCATGAGCATCGGCATCCTCAGCCAAGGGTGTGAGAGTCCACACGTGCCGATCAAAGGTATCCATTCCAACTCGGGTCGATTCTAAAGGAAAGCACTTTGATTCCCCAGCTGCAGAAGAAAGCAGTTCCCACGGTCTTTATTTTAGGCATGGAGTTTTGCCCTCCAATTTAATTCTGGCATTTCTCAGAGCCATGCCTTTTTTTTTTTTAAGGCCCATCTGAAGAAGGGCTGCTGGGGAGACAGAGATGTGGGGTGCTGGTTTTATCACAGGGCTCCGGCCTGTGCCTGAGCGTGAATCCCAGGTGCCGCAGAAAACTGGGTGAGTCCTTCAGGACACACGCATCAAACACAACGGCACGTGGCCAAGTGGCTGATTAGGGAAAAACGTGTCGCAGGCGTCGGAAGGCAACCTTTGAACAGAGAGTGTGTGTTATGAGGCTTTTAGCGCCGATGCCCTCGGAACACTGCCATCAGGCTGGCTGTCACATCTTTCAACACCTCTGAATTACACAGATACAGAGGGACACGGCCTGCCTCGGGGGCCATGGCCACAGCCTTCCCGCGCTCCGTTCTAGAGCCTCCAGACTTTGGGCCCCGGGTGCACCGTGGCCACGCAGAGCCACGAACCAAGTGCAGAAATGTCGAACGTTTGGTCCAGAAACGTAGAAGCTTCTTGGGCATTGATTGGCATTCGTAAAGCAGCCTCCTTCGACGGGTTTGAAAAGGCAAGTTTCTTGAACTCTGCAACATGCTTGAGGCTGTGGTCTGCAGGAGACTCAGTTTCTCCCTTTATGCCCTCCTCTGCCCTCAAGAAGGGTGTCAGGATGGGGTGGAGATGGCGATAGCACCAAAGAGGCTGAGTGGGGGTCCCGGTCCTCGTCCCTGGATGGGTGTGGAAGAAGCAGAGCAAGGGGGTAGACCCCACCAGGGCCACCCCTGCAGTGTGTGTCCACCCAAAGTCCTGCCAGGGAGGGCTGTCCTGCCACTGGGCAGAGCTCTCTGACGAAGCTGAAGGTGGGGAGACAAAGGGAAGTCTCAGAGTCTGCAGAAACCTAGAGGAGGGGAACAAACCCCGCTGGCCGGGGGCAGAGGTTTCCAGGAGGGGCCAAAGACTCTTGGACTGGGTCTTTGTTTATTTGTTTATTTATTTGTTTGTTTGTTTTTAAGATTTTATTTACTAATTCATGAGAGACACAGAGAGGCAGAGACACAGGCAGAGGGAGAAGCAGACTCCCTGCAGGGACCCTGATGTGGGACTGGATCCCGGGACCCCGAATCACGCCCTGAGCCAAAGGCAGACGCTCAGCCAACTGAGCCAGCCAGGTGCCCTTGGTCAATAATTCTTCGTGTAAGTGAACCATGCTCACTGTAGAAGTTCTAGACACCACAGCAAAGGATCGAGAACACTGAAATTGCCTGCGGTCCTGCCACCCTGACATCGCAGGTGTGGACCTTGGGATGAGTTTCCCACATCTCACTGTACGGAGCTGGACTTTGATACAAGACTAGCAGGCAGCCAGGTTGGGGGGGGGTGCAGAGAGGGGGTTTCAAGCACAAAAAGCTCTCAATGAAGCTTCTAGAAGTCTTGAAACAAGACTCCTGTTGCCATTGGTAGTTGAGGGACTCAAA